CGCGCGTACTCCACGTTGGCGAGTGCATTTAACGCATTTGAGTATGAAGGAGCGTACTGGTGCCCGGCCTCCGAGTATCCAGTAGCTGCTTCTGAGCTGTCGCAAAGTGAGCTGTGTGCCTTCGTGGAGTGTCCTGAGGTGAGCTTGTCCTATGAGCAGTTGAGCCAGCCGAGATTCCTTCGGAATGATAGCTTGATTCCGGCTCTCTGGGCCAATATGAGCGAACTTGAGCCTTCCGCCAACTCTCAGTACCCCTTGGTGATCGATGAAGGGTGTAAGCTTGATGAGAGGGTGAGATTTACTGAACCTCTCCCCTCGTGAGATTGATCTGAGCTGATCCTTGAAGTGAGCTGCCTGCGTGAGTTTGATCCAGAGGATCCGAGCCTCTTCCAGATCACCAAGAGTGAGCGGGTACTGAAGAGATGCATGAGGGACTTTCCTGAGCCGAGCGATGAATCTTCGACAGATTGCTGTGACCCTGAGCAGGCGGTTGAGCGAAGAGAATCTGTCAATGAGATCCCAGAGAGCGATTGGTTGAGCCTTGAGATGTAAGAGAACTCCTGGCTTCTCCTCGAGGTCTACGTTAAGGTCCTTTTCCAAGGCGTGAGGGCCATGATGAGCTGTCCTGTTGAAGCCATGGCGGCCCTGTCCACCACAGCTTATGAGCAACCAGCTGATGCGCTGATAGACCTCGAGACGCACAGTCTGCAGGATTCTCCTTGCCTGGGACCAAACTCCAGTGAGCCTGTTGAGTGAGGTCCTGAATGAGTGACACCCTGTTCTTCACGAACTCATTTCACCTTGATGAATGAGAGCTGATCCAGGTGAGAGTGACCGATGAGTCCGTCCAAAGATACGTGGTGGCGTTCGTGAGGTTGAGCTGGTCCTTGACGTATTTGGTCAGTTTGGCAAGGAGAAGAGCTGCAGTGAGTTCGAGACGTGGAATTGTCAGCCTTTTGAGCGGTGCGACCTTCGTTTTTGAGCAGACCAATGTGATATCCTGTTTATCCCCGTTGAAGATTTTGAGATAAACCACGGTTGACATAGCCACTTGTGAGGCATCAGAGAATCCGTGTACCTCCACAATTGAGTCTTTGAGCAGTCCAAGCCACCGAGGTATGGTGACCTCTGACAACTGTGTGAGTTCCTCCCTGAACTGACGCCATCGGTGAGCAGTCATCGGCGAGACTGGTTCGTCCCATCCCAGTTTCTCGACCCATAGAGCCTGGAGCAATATCTTAGCTCGTACAACCACTGGTGCTAGAAAGCCCAGTGGATCGAAGAGTTGAGCCGTTTCCGATAAGATGATTCTCTTCGATATTGAGCTGGTCTCAGGTTGAGCGACGGAAAACTTGAAATTGTCCGTTCCAGGATGCCAAGAAACCCCTAGAATCTTGGTGAGCGAGTCCTCTATGGATCGTTGTTCTTGAGAGGTGCTGTCAGGTCGAAGAGATGTGAGTAGAGCGGGGCTATTTGAGTGCCATTTGGCTAATGGAAAGCCTCCTGACAAACAGAGCTGTGTCACCTGGTGAGCAGTCCTGAGTAGCTCTTCATCTGAGTCAGCACCTCCGCAGATATCGTCAACATATCGTCCTTTCATGAGCGGTTCCACAGCGAGGGGATACTTCAACCCTTCATCCTCGACGAGCTGATGAAGCACACGTATGGAGAGAAATGGAGCTGACCTTGTGCCATACGTGACCGTGGTGAGCTGATAGGGGACGATATCTCCGTTTGAGTCGTTCCAAAATATTTGTTGGAGTGGCCAGTCCTCCGGATGTACTTGAATTTGACGAAACATCTTGGTAATGTCTGTCATGAAAATGAGCCGTTTCCGCCGCGAAAAGAGAAGTACATCCGAGATATCCTTCTGCAACTTCTCACCCGTGTGCATGATGTCGTTCAACGATTGTCCTGAGCTGGTCTTGTTAGAACCGTTGAAAACAACTCTGAGCTTCGTTGTCTCACTGCTTGCCCTGAGAACTACGTGATGAGGGAAGAAGTACTCCGGCGTGGACTGAGCCTGAGGAGACCACGTACCGCCTGGAATCCTCAACCCTCCTGAAGCCGAAACTTCATGTGCCAAGGTCATCCCAGGGGCGTTGCGGCCCCCTGTGAGCTGATCCGAAAGAGCTGAACTGATAGATGAGCCGGGTACTCTCCGCATGTGATCCAATTCCTTGTATTCCTTGAGGAACGCTGACGATAAATCTCATCACGTGATAGCTTCTTGAGCAGACGATGGAGGCAAGCGAGTGCAGACGACCGTGAATCTCCTAGCGATGAAGCTGAAGATTTGAGCGGTATCCGAACGATATAGCGACCTGAGGAATCTCTTGAGTGGGTCCGTTGAAAGTGTTCTTCACACTGAGCTTCTTCCTCGGTGAGCTGAACCTCTGATGTCCCAGGGATCTCTTCCTGGACCCAGAATTTGGTGAGCAGTTCATTGAGATCATCGTTGGTGACCGCTAGATGAGAAGTTGCCTCTTGAGTAGTACCAGGACCTTCCGTCGGTCCGAATACGATCCACCCTAGCTGCGTGAGCTGAGCTGAAGGTGAATTTGGTCCATTGGTGATGACTTGCGGTAAAATGAGCTGCCCATAGACATCAGCGCCAAGAAGGATATCAATTGGTGCTGGTGTGAGAAAATCAGGATCAGCGAGCTGGAGTTCCTCCAGATGATCCCATGTGAGCTGACTTGATGAGAATGTCGGTAATGAGTTGGTGAGCTGGCCGAGAGCATAGGCAGAGACCCTGAGTTGAAAGTTAGAGTGAGTGGACTGTATAGTGAGCTGAACCTTGCCTAATGCCGGCCCAGATGCCGCGTCTCCAATTCCCGAGATTCGTAGCTGAGTCTTAAGTCTAAAGAGCCCAAGCTGACGAACGAGCTGATCTGAGATGATAGAGATTTCCGATCCGGGATCAATGCGTAGACGGACCTGGTGAGCTGGACGGTCTGGACGTACCAAAAACCCAAGGCTGGTAGCCAGAAGGACACCAGGACGGAAATCTTGAGCTGGGCTAGGAGCTGGCTGACGAGCTGAGCAGGAGACGGCAATCTGAGCTGATGAGCCTCAAACCTGGTCTGCCCAAGACGTGCTGTGGTTGGCAGGAACGGATGGAGGTTGGGTTGGACCAGCAGGCTGAGCCTTGACCTCAGTCCTTTCCCCCTGATGCACCACCGGAACTGGTTTCTGCGGAGCTGAGCTGGTCTGTTGCCTCTGTTGAGCTGGACGTGCAGGCTGATTCGATGGTTGGCTGTGCAGCATCGAGTGGTGGAGCTTCCCACAGTACTGGCAGGTGGTCTTTGACCTGCAGTCCCTGACCGAGTGTCGTCCCAGGCAGTTGTAGCAGAGGTAGGGCTTCTCTACTACCTCCCTACGAGCTGGCACGGTGAGCTGACGGAAGGATGAGCAGGACGTGAGGTAGTGATCCGCCTCACACGTGGAGCACGGATACGTGACCTTCCCCGTTGGAGCGGACCTTTGAGCGGGTCTAGACCTCTGTGTTGGTTGAGCGGCGCCGTGGTGAACCTTCGCAGATGGTGCTTGCCTAGATGAGCTGACCGTGGAAGGCTTCGTGGTAGTCGCACGAGGAGTCGAGTTGATCTCGATACTCTCCATCGCACGTGCTCTCCCAGTGAGGAATTCCTTGAAATCCTTGAAAGAAGGATACTCCGATGATGAGCCGACCTTGACCTCCCAGGCTTCACGAAGCTTGGAGCTGAGCCTTTGAGAGACCGTATGAACGATGACCTGATCCCACTGAGCTGTCGGAGATCCCAGAGCTTCCAAAGCATTCAGAGCTTCGCTGACGGTGGTGAGAAGGGCATTCAGTTCCTTGGCGCTGTGAGCTGTCATAGCTGGGGGACTGAGAAGCTGCTCCAAATGAGCTGAAATGAGTAGTCGCTTATTCTCATAGCGAGATAAGAGCTGGTCCCAAGCGATCGAGAACGACTCATCCGAAATTGTCAAGTCCGCGATCCGCTGAGCTGACTCTCCGGAGAGACTTGTGCGGAGATAATGCATCTTCTCCACGTTAGAGAGATCCGTGTTTGAGCCAACCAAAGATGCGAAAAGATCGCGAAAAGAGCGCCAATCCGCGTAAGCCCCTCCGAATTTAGGCAGCGAAATCTCGGGGAGATAACGCTTTGAGTAAGTCGGTTGAGCTGTACCAGATGCGAGAGACCGACGAGATGAGTCTGAGACCCCCTTTTTGTCAATGAGCTGATTCAACGTACCGCGAGCTTCGTGATAAAACCCGATCGTGAAGTCGAAGCATTTGTCCTTGAAGTACGGCAATTCAAGGACACCTTCAATCTTGCCGCTGCTTGCTATGAGCTTCTCGTGGGTGCTTTCAAATTTCTCCCAATAAGTCTCCAGAATGTCCAGCTTGCTCTGGAGATTGGAGATTGTAAGGCTTTTCGCCTCTTCTGTGAGCAACTCCTTGTAAATGCGTTCAATGAACGCCGAAGGAGATTGATTCAGGCTAATGGTTGCCTCGAAAGATGCCATAATTAAAGAAAATGAGCAGCTCAAAATAAAGTAAATAAAATAAACTCAAATAAAGCTCAGTAAAGCGGCCCAAAAAATCGAGCAGAGAGCAGTGAGAAGCGATGCAATCGAGTATTCGGCGGTTAGAGCGGTTCAAAGAAAAGAAAAAAAATAACGCAAAAAAACCTCAATCGTTGAGCAGTCCACAAAACAAGAGAGCGCAAGCCACGAACCAAAAAAAAACCAAAAGAAACCAAAGCGGTAGCTCAAAAAAGCCAAGCCTAAAAAAAAAATATTAATTATTAAGGCTCAAAATAATAATAATTATTTATAATTATCAGGCTACTTAGCCTCGCCGAAGATCGTTGTATCAGTGGAGCGGGTCTTCAGTTTAATCAGTACGACCCTGATGGATGAGCGGGGCCCTCGGTTCCCTAGGGTGGTCCTGATGTGGTGAGTTGGGCACTGGTGACTGATGGTACGGCCCTGGCGTGTGAGCGGGGCCCTGGTGTCACTAGGGTGGTCCTGACGCGTGGTGCTGGGCACTGCCGTGCGTCGAGACGGCCCTGCCGGATGAGCGGGGCCCTGGTAGCAGTTCTAGCAGCACTGCGCTATAACACTCCCGCGCAAATCACTTCGATGCCGAGAAGAAAAAAGCACAAAAACCGAAAAATATTCCACCGATCCGGCTCGAAGGACCAAAATGTTCGATGAGATGCCTGGATCGGTGAGAATAATTAATAGATGAGCGAGATTTGAGTGGATTGCGTGAGTGGAATGCGCGGGTCAAAAAATGAGTAGAACACGTGCACGTGGTTTCACAAAAACACTGTATTTGTCAATAAAAAATAATAGGTAGTCACAATCAGTCACTGAGCAGACGGAGATAATTACAATCACATTGATTGATGAGCGGACCGATAAACCGTAATAAAGGTTTAGAAATGAGCTGACACAATTTCACTAATTCCGATTACGGAGAAATGAGCGGTGCAAAGAGCTGACGCACTGAGTTCCCGGAAACGAATGAGGCAGAGACACGGGCTTACCGGTGCCACGTGCCCTTAATCGGAGGTCACATGACCTATTTTAAATACAATATTATAATTTGCATGATAATGTGGAGCTGTCCAGAAAGTGGCGCCTCAGGTGTCCGAACTAATAACCCCCGGTCATCTGAGGTGAGCGCTTTAAGTGTGCGTGAGTGGGGAGAGAATGAATGAGCCGCGCGTGTGTATGTGTGAGTGCCTGTCAGCTGACACGATTTCCAACAACTATTTTCAATTATATAAATTTATGAAGTTCCGATAATTATATTCCGTAAACCAAACGGTCAATCGATTTGATTTTTTTTTCTGTATTTCCTCCCACGATGTATATTCCACGTTTTTTTTTATTTCTGAAACTGTCGAGCCGTTGATTTTTAAAAAATTCTAATCGGCAAAACTCCATTTAAACACGTGTTAAATCACTCGAATTTCAAAAATTTATATCTCAAGTTCAAAACGGTCAATTGCAAACGAAAAAGGCTCATTTTGTTGCTAATTTTTCAAACTATTCACCATAAAATTTTTAACAAAAACTGTCGAAAAAAAATTCTACGCGACAACAACCTTAAAGACAGTGCCTTTAGTATGAACACTATTTCTGTTAATTATTCAAACTCTATCTTTGGCTCAGTGTTTTAGCATCTCCTGATGAGAGCAACATTTTTGTCTTTCTCAAAGGACTTCCAAAGAAAACTGCGGTCCTGGTGGAGCTAAAGTAAATCAGGTGGACGTCCAACCGTCTGATAAGCAATGCTCGATGCGTAAGAGTAATCGTGATGGTCCAGATGGCTCTCTGTGACTTGGACGTTCAGGGCATCAGAGGATTGAGATGCTCAAGCGGCTGAGATTATGTCTCAATTTTCGTGGGCATTACATGGAGGAGAATTGTTCTTGGACAGTCACTTGCCAGAACTGCCTGTAGTGGCATCATGCGTTTCTTCATTAATGCAGCGAGGGCAGCTATGATGAAAACAGGCCCCACTCCTCTCGCTGTGACGCAATCATTTGTAATATTTTAGTTCTACTATTGCTCCGCATGTGTCGAGTGTAGGAGCTGGCACGTTGCCACGGAAGTGATCGCTTAGGAACTTCGTTTTCGGTGGGAAGAAAGGATGTCTGATGCTGATGCAATACTGCTGTCACGGTTAACAGATTATGTTTCCCAAGAGATTATTATTACCAAGAGCTGAGCCATGCCGGCAGTGGTCGGTGAGTACTTTATCACAAGAGGTATAAATTTCATTCTTGGTGCTGACGTTTTCTCGCCTGTCATCCAGTTGCGGTTGCGATTAGAGTCATTGAGGCAGCTGATTGCAAAGCAGACTTTTTCTGGGTGGATTATTTCCGGGCCAGTGTTTTTGGAAGAAGTTTTGTAGCCGGACGTCTCCTCATTTCACGTATCAGCTGATTTGGAGCTGAATGTGTTGGTAATGGGGTTGTGGGCTGAGCACACTGATCTCTATATAACGGGATAGACTATCCCTCTGCCCCCACTACGCCGACACTGAGGCAGTACTGCAGGACAAGCAGCGCCTCAAAATAGTAGCTCGAGTACTACAGTGCCCTTGACTGCGCATGCACATCACCCAATGGAAAGCGATCACGGATAAACATGCTTCTTCCCTTCCACTGACAACTGCGCTGAGCATGCGCACTTGATAGAACTTTAGTTCCCGGAATACTATTCGGAGGGGCTGATTGACTTTCAAATCGGCCTTACCACGGGAATACGCGATAGTCGATCCAGTTATATAGAGATCAGTGGCTGAGCAGGAGGAATTCATCGAATTCTCAGTGAAGGCCAGTGCAGAGGTATGTGAGTATGAAGAGCATTTTCCGTCAACGTTCTCAATGGAGAGCAGTGCTCTACATGCGGTGAGGCAGCCGTTCAAATCATCACTGACTCAATTGTGTAATTCGCGTAAGTGGGCATTGAAGATGTTGTGTCTTTGCAGGCAACCTTTAAGCAGAATCCTGAATAGTGGATCAAGTACAAACTCATTGTAGATGAGTATGAACAGTTGAAACATAAATCTCGTGAGGGGACTGGGAACAGGCTTTCTGTGGTCGACTACTACTATTCAGTGGTCAAGGAACGCAGCTTGATGACAAAGTTATAATAGGCCGTTAAAACGTCTTGTCGCTGTTCGTGCAACGACTTGGTGCAGAAAGGCACAAACCTTCCAGCTGAGATCTTCAGTCTTATTATTCGATGAAGAGGGCGCAGGTGCGTGTATTCAGGGACGTGGTTAAGATGTTTAGGCAAATTCTGATTCATCCAGAGGGCTGGGATCTTCAGAGGATCTTGTGAAGGGATGATTCAGGGGAGATAATTGAGTTTAATCTGAACAAAGTGATTGACGGCACACGTTCTGCTCCTTATCTTGCCATTAGAATATTAAGGCAGCTGGTTGCGGACGACGGAGTTGCTCGTGCCGGGGCGAGAGAGGTCATGTTGAAGACGACCTGCATCGCCGACGTGTAGGGGCAGCTGCGCCCAGGAGGCATTCGAAAAGCCAGATTTTGAAAATCAGTGGAGTCTTTGCTGCAGGGGTAATGTTCGTGCAGGGCGAGACAACCAATCAGCCAGAGTTCCTTGAGGTAATTTCTGTCGCACCAATCAACTCACAGGTTCTGAAGATAGATGATCAATCATCGAACTCTAAGTCTCAAATGGGATTCAATGCAGGATATTTTATTTTTTGTTGCTAAAGACCAGCCGAACGGTAAAGTATTAACGAAGCAAATTGCTTTGTCACATGTGACTCGCTTGTACGAGCGTCTAGTCTGGATGTCGCCATTCGTTGTGAGGAACAAGCTTCTCGTGCAAGAGTTGTGGAAGAAGGATTTTGTCTGTCAGTTGTTGCAGAGGATTTCATCAGTCATTAGAGCCGGTTCGCATGGGATATTCTGGGACTGAAGAACGTCAGACAGCCGAGGCCTTTCAGGAATGATAAGGAAACAATTGAAATTGAGCTGCATGCATGTGCCAATGCTCCAGGAATCGCCTATGGCTAAGAATGGTAATGTGAGCACCATACTGGCTCCTAACATAGGCCAGAATAGCGCAGTCAAGTTATACCGAGTTACTCTACCGAGGCTCCAGCTAATGGCAGCTTATTTATTATCACAGGAGTTCTTGAAAAACAGAGTGGAGGAGACTCAGAGATTACTACCTCAAGCATGCTGGAGGCAAATTCCAAAGGAGGAGGATACTGCAGATCTGGTTACCGGAGGAGTGTCCTGCGAATAATTGACTGAAAGTCCATTGTGCTGGTCTGGATCCAGTTGGTTATTGTGGACAGAAGCTTCTTGGCCTGAGCAGAATTTCGCTGTAAATGAGGTCGAGGGTCTTGAGCTGCGGAGACTAGTTGTGCATGCTACTACAGGTGCCTAAGAGTATTCCCTGTGATTTACGTGCTCGTTTTAGATCCTCGAAAATGCTGCTTACGGTGACGAGGTGGCGGCGTCGCGTCTTTGTTGTCGAGCAGAAGAAGGATCTGGCATAGTTCTGTCATCCCGTATTAAAGCCAAGAGAGCTTGAGGACATTCGAAACTCCTGCATCAAAGCGATTTAGGAGAAGTCTTTTGCTGCGAATCTAACAGGATGAGAGATTCAAAGGAAGCATCTGGAAAGAGTCCTGTGTTTCCCCTAATACCATTTCTTGATGGAGGGGGGTGATTCCTCTCACGGGGAGACTGCATAAGTCAGCTTTTGAAAGAGACCTCAAGCATCCTGTGGTGCTGTCATCAAGCTCAAAGCTGACGGAGCTATTATTGCTTCAAATTTATCAACAGACTCGAGGGTAGCAAAAGATTTGATTTTTCGATGTGTGACTTGCTCCAGATGCCGTGGAGCTGTAGCGAAACAACCGATGGAGCCGTTGGTTGTCGTGGAAAAAGGTCTTTCAGCGTGGTGTGGATTACGCCAGTCCATTGACTTTGCTGACCTGGAGAGATCGGCGGACAATG